AAGTAAAACCAACTATTTAAAGTAAAGAAAAAAAATCAAAAAGAGTAACAATCATGAATGAGTATGGCATGAGTATGGCATGAGTATGGCATGAGTATGGCGGCAGAAGAAAAGAAAGAAAAGGGGATGGTTGCGGGAGTGGAAAGAAAAGAGAACGGCGGCGGAACATGAAAGATGATGGAGCAACATGCGGATTCAACGAGAAGAAAGATTAAAGAGTAAAGACTTAAAGTTGATGAAAATTACAAAATAACCGGGTGTACACGTACACCCGGATGTATATATAATTTGCCACAATCTAGAGTTGGGTCAGTTTTGGCTAGTTTTTTGTTTTATTCGGTTTAGTTTTGAGAGGTCCAATTTGATCGATTCATCAATCTATTTAAGTTTACCCATATATTTGTTAGTTTATCGATTTTGATCAAAAGTTGTACAATTAGATAGATATTTTTGTATTTTAAAAGTTGCATTAGATATTATGAAAGCTCTATTAAAAGATACGGGAAATAGCATTTTTAGTAGTGTAGGGGGATAGCATTAGACATGGGAAATATCTTACTAAATTGTATGTGTTTCTTTGTTATAGAATAGGCGAGTAGCAGTCGATTCATGCAATTTCCGACACGATTTTCATCATGGGTCATCCGAAAAGATTAATGTTGAAACGGGGATTGGGGAATGGGGAGTAGCTAAGAATCTACAAAAACCCGAACACTAACGGAATGACCAACAAACTTAGGACATTGTTTTTTCTGAATCATTACTTATTAGGACATAATTTTGAATGCTGAAATCATGTATTGTTTTTGCTGATGCAATGTGGATTGCGAGGTCACCGTGTGTGACTAAATACAAATTAAGATGAACTAATTTTCTAGATTACTAGTGAAAGAGGGATCAGGGATGCAAATTCCTTCATTTTTTGGATCAACCTAGTTAACTATGAATTTCTTGCAACCCACATAATATATTAGATCAGCATTTGTGCATTTGCTAAATGCGGTAAATTATAAGGTACACCCGGGTGTACCTATACACCCGGTATTTTTGTAATTATCTTGAACTTTGAGTCTTCTTCTTAATCCATATCTGCTACACGCTCAACCTTCACCATCGACATTCAAACCGATCAAAAGTCTCATCCTTCAGGAGCTGGAACATCGAGAGAATGGAAGTCGCTTCCTAAGCTAACTCCGACGAGTTTGAATCCAGGTTGCATGGAAGATACGATAGAAAGCACAACCTTGCGGACATTAATACCGGAGCGATTGAAATCCGAGTCGTGAGCGAGTCTCTTGAGTATCCTCAGTGCGAAGATCTGGATTTCAAATTACTGGACCAGATAGAACGAGCCTGAGCCAAAAAGGAGTGCACCCAACCCTGTTCGGCATGTTGCTTTGGAGTAGGAATCAGCTCTTGAGTGTCCTGTATCAGCCATCGAAGGGTGTGGACGTATGGTTGGGAATAAGATTGAAGTCCTTCAATGATGCTCATCTGAATCCTGTTCATTTAAAAGTAATTATTTTTTAAAAGAAGACATGAGTATATAAAAATGAATATATGAGCATATTAAAGATTTCAAACGATTTTCTAAATTTTTTCGATGCTCATTTTATAAATCATGTATGCTCATTTTGTACTGATGTTATTCTCATTTTAAAATTTTATATAAATGCACATTTCAAAATTATCATATTATATTAGATTCGCATATTGAAATTTATAAGGGTATTATTTCTTTAAGAAAAGAGTTTATTATCGATATAATTCAAAAGATTATTACCAAAGAAAAAGAAAAACTAAGAATAACAAACTGAATTACGATATTAATTGTAGAATTCAAATGCTCAATGAAAATATTTTGCTACTCAACTTATTAATATTATGACTTTTATATTAATGTGTATTTCAAAAGTTCCACATTTCCATTGATTCAATCTGGCCATCTCCGGTGCAGCAAAGATTATAGATGACAATATTAATGTTCTTTATAGACTAGATTCTGGTAGGGATGGACTAAACCAAGTCGGAACCAGTCCAGCCCGCTACTGTGCGGGCCCGAACCGGACCGGTTGGCCGGTTCCGGGCTTTTAGCCCGTTTGGGCGGGTCGGGCGGGTCGAGCGGGCCGGAACCAGTCCAGCCCGCTACTGTGCGGGCCCGAACCGGACCGGTTGGCCGGTTCCGGGCTTTTAGCCCGTTTGGGCGGGTCGGGCGGGCCGGGCTCAGGCCCAGTTTTGGGCGAACCGGCCCAGTTTTTTGTTTTTTCATTTTTTTCTTTTCCTAGGGTAGGGCTGGGTGTTTTGAGGAGGTTTGGGGGTGGGGGTGAGGGGGGGGGTCGGGGGATACCAAGAAAGCAAAAAAAAAAATTAGACATTGAACCGGTCCCGGCCCGGCCCGGTTAGGCCCGAACCCGGTATCAACCCGAGTCGGTTCCGGGCCCAAGGATTTGCAAAAAAGGCCCGCCCGGGCCCGGTCCGGAACCGGAACCGGACCGGACCGGCCCGAGTCCATCCCTAGATTCTGGTAATATTGACCTGACAGAACAATCCAACCTTGCAGTATGACTCTCACGTACCAAATGAGCATAACACTTAAACGAAATGAGCATAGACAAATGAGGATTTGAGCACATTAGCGATTTCAAATGACATTTTTAATTTTTTGATACTCACTTTGTAGGTTACGTATGCTTATTGGTACTGACATCATATTCGTTTTAATGTGTCATATAAATTCATATTTCAAAAGTATCACGCTGCTCAATATTAGACTCATAATACTCAACAGAATAAATGCAATGCTCAGTAAAAGTTCATTAATGCTCAGTTTACAGAAACCATATTCTTATCTCAATAGAAGATGTTTGATGCTCGATTAAAATGTCGTAATGTTCAACTAACAAACCTTATGCTTTTCATATCAATGCGCACTTTGTAAGTTACGTATGCTCATTTAGTTTAGTACTGATGTTATGCTCATTTTTAAAATGTCATATCAATACATATTTCAAAAGTATCATATTACATTACACTCGCATATTGAAATTAATAGGAGTGAATCATAGATATAATTTAATAAGTTTTAGAAAAAAAATAAGAAAAAGAAAAAGAATTAGAAGATATGAAGTACAGATCGTGATTAGGGATGGACTCAACCGGCCCGGCCCGCTACTGTGCGGGCCCAGACCGGACCGGGACTGGTTGGCCGGTTCCGGGCTTTTAGCCCGTTTGGGCGGGCCGGGCGGGCCGGGCTCGGTCCCAGTTTTGGGGAGGTTTGGGGGTGGGGGTGAGAGGGGGGGGGGGGGGGTCGGGGGATAACAAGAAAGTAAAAAAAAAAATAGACATTGAACCGGGCCCGGCCCGATTAGGCCCGAACCCGGTATCAACCTGGGCCGGTTCCGGGCCCAAGGTTTTGCAAAAAAAGCCCATCCGGGCCCAGCCCGGAACCGGACTGGCCCGGGTCCATCCCTAATCGCGATACTCATTGTTAGTCTCTTAATACTCAATAAAATAGATCAGATGCTCATTAAAAGTACACTATCGCTCATTTAACGGAAGACGTGATTTTTCACTTAAATTACAAAAATGCCACCGAATTTTTTTTGCTTGTATCAGTTATTGGGCTGTGTTCCTTAGTTGGGCCAGGTGTAAACACCCGGATGTACCATATAGGCACTGGCTAAATGGTAATACAGTTAGCTGTTACTTGTTGGATGTAATTGCACTTTTCACTCGAGTCAAGTTAGTGAGGATTTCCCCGTTAAAATGACTTATGTAGCTATGTCAGTTAAACTTGACACCGGCTTGTTTAGTTGTTTAGTAACTCAATGTCGTCAGTCTATATACCCATTACCCAGTATAGTGGTAAAATTTCAAGCTTTTCTTGGGTATAAGTTTATTACTACATGTCTTGATACAACAGCATCAAAAGATTTGGAATCGATTTCACATGAATGACATATGAAATCGGAGTTAAAATTGCATGTCTTGATAACCGGACATATCGCTAATTGTTTGTCTTGATTATAGGAAGATATCAATGTACGAGAAGAAGCAGTGACTTCACCAAGGGGTGCACCACCCCATTCCGGGTCCTGAACAAGACCGGACTAGAATCTGCAGACAAATTACCCAGAACTGAACATCTAATATTGGAAGGGTTTGGGTTCCTCCCAAATGCAACCAGGCCATACTAGTTCCAGTTCCAATTCCGTTCTTTTTTTATAAATGGGGTACAGACCAGTCTAGATCTGGACCGCAGCCAGGGCTGACCCATAATTCCCCATAGCAGTTACACATGACCATCGCAAAGGATCGGGAACCAGCCCAAGTCTATCCCTATATTCAGAGCCCCATTTCCCATGATGACACACAGCAGCCTAATCACGGAAGGTCAGCCAATTAATGTAATCAAGCATTGAATGTATTCAACTTAATAATACTCCATACATTATAAGTTTCAGTTAAAGTTTGGTAATCAAGCATTACTGTTAGCTGGTTGTCTTGAAGGCTTTGACCCACAGATTGAAATAGCCGTTTTAACCATCTTATTCTGTCTGCGGATGGTAAAAGATGATTTGGTATAAAACTATAAATACATGTTTGCAGAATAGCTGTTCGGAGATAAAAATAGTGTTTGATTGTTATAATGCTTACACAAGAAGAAAAGTTGTCCCAACAAAATGTAGTACTAATATGTAAGATCAGAAATAATAAGGCCATTCATTCCGATGTATAAAAAAATACCCTATATTTTCTTTATTTTTCTTTAATCCTTACTCAGTGAGAGCCATATGACCTCCCTAGGTGACCTACTAATCTCCAAGAAAGGCTTCAAGTATTGCCTGATAATCTTTTCTCAGATAGTAGCGCATATATGTTTAGAAAAAATCAGGCACCATTACTTTTGCCTCCTCTGATCGGGATATCGGACAACCTGTTCAGGATTTCAGGGTATCTAATGGAGTTTGATTATAATAACAGCATAATTAAGTTCATAGGTGGAATATAACTATTGCTGACTTAAAGGGACTCAAAGAATAATGCCATCAAACACGTTTTCAGAGTTCATGCTTAGACTGTGTTTCTTCTCAATTTCAAATTGAAAAAGTTTGGACAAAACCAAGCAGCTCTTGCTTTCAAGTTACATAAATCAACCCCTTAAACCCTAGCTCACGCCTCTAAATCCAACCGAAAATCATTGTGAAACAGAGAAGTAAATAAAAAATTAATCAGACCTCGTCCTCGTGAAGAAGCATATTGGGGATTCCCTTACTCACGGGAAACTTGCGGCCAGTTTGTGGGCAAACCAGCGCTCCTTCTTCGAGGTGAATCTCGAGGAGTGCGTGGTGTATCTTCTGGAGGAACTCTTTGGAATCGAGCATGGAGGCGGCTGCTTCAGCATCTTCCGGGAGCTCCGCGTAGCCCATGGTTCTCGCAGCCTCCACCAGCGCCTTCCACTCGAGCTTCGAGAAGTGGTTCCTGATGAAATCGGCGTTGAACTCCACCGTCTTTTCCGCTGCCTTCTGTACCTCGATCAGAAGAGGAAAACCATTGGTTACTCCCTTAATGTTACAGGATAGCATGTTGTGAGTCAAGAGCCTCATCGCCGGTTTCTGGAGTCGGCTGCCTGCTGCGGAGGCGAGGGGGTCGTAACTAGTAAGGTATTGAAATAGAGCTCGTCTAACGAGGTTGGGGGTGTTTATTGGCTTAGGGTCTTTTTTAATTGAAACAATATACTACAATCTTTTTTTATAGAGGAGATGGACTTTGACAAGTGCAAAGCAGGTGAGAAATAAGAATAGTAAAAATTGTGTGATTGAGATTTGTGTAGATAAGAGAGAAATGTGAAGAACCACAAATTAGTTGTTTTAATAAGAAAGTGATAAAATTTTTTGGGACAACAAAAAAGGAAAATCGGTAAAGTCCAATGGGACGGAGGGAGTACTTGAGATGAATTTCTATACATAATGGGTTTGGACTAAGCATGTTTTCTTTTCAGACGGTTTTCAATCTCTTACCAGACTAGACCAGGCTTAAATAGATCAGATCGGGTCTAATGAAACTTAAATAGATCAGATCGGGTCAATCAAATTAGACCAACAAATTTTAATCCAAAAGAAAATATCCTAATTTAACAAACAAAATGTGTCAATAATAAAGTATGCGCAAAACATGTACACAAACTATTGTGATTTTATCCGACTAATTGTGGGGTCATCATTTTTCTTTTATGTAGCACAAACTATTATGATTTTATCCGACTAATTTTAAACTCCTAAGAACATATTTGTGATTCTTGAAAGTGTAAATCGAGTCCAACGAGTAATCTTTCACATTCTAACACAATGTGTACTTCGAAAATCAAGCATATCTCACGGGATAATCACAATTTATTGGACAATTCTTCATTATTTATATATATATATATATATATAGAGAGAGAGAGAGAGAAAGTAGAGCTAATGGTAAAAAAGAGATAGATGTCTTGCAATAAATGATTTTGAACTGTTATAACTCTCCAAAATGAGAATATTTATTGTGGTAATAAATAATAAGTGCTTCAAATGTTGGTATATGTGTTAGCTAGTCTATGGGTGAAGCCTCGCAGTGTATGTAAAGAGGGCACATGTTGCCCCCACTAAAATTTGCTCTGTGATGGTCGAGGAGCATGCACCCTCGTTCACGTGTCTTGATGATGGAGTCTCTTGACTATGGCTGGTGTTCTGCCCCTTCTTATGTTGATGGTGGGAGTCTGAGGGGGGTGATGGATGAGGGTGATCATCACGTTTCATTTAGATCATTGTACGGGTGATTCAGATCGTTATGAGCAGTTGTACCCTCATTTGGTCGAGGGGACAGACCTAGGGTGTAGTTTGTTGATTGTTAGTCCATTCCAAATGTCTTGTAAGTGTGTCGGTCATAGGTCCAGACCCATATACTTCACAAGGAGTCCCTACTCCCTTCATCGAGAGCACGTCGCGTTGAGACAAAATGGGGACGTCTTTGTATGAAATGTGTTGTTCCTTCTTGCGGGGTTGAGGTAGAGGTGTAGTTCCCTAGTCCGCCTATTTTGTGGCTCGAGCCTAATATTATCACAAGGAGTAGACTTGTATGATGCTGAGGCGTCCCACCAATCCCCTACAGACAATCCAATTTCATCGATGAATCCTAGTGGAGGCAACTCTATGAGAGAATACCTCTGTGGAAGATTGTTCGCCGGAGTCGGTGCATTAGTTGGGAGTGATGTATTGTTTTAGTGGCATTTTTTTGAATTTTGTTGCAGAGTCCAAATGTCTCGTTAATGTGTGAGCCGTGGATTCAGATTCATCATCTACTCTGTCAATTTTCATCAAAAGCTAAATGTTAAATTACAATTTGACACGAGACTAAGTACTTGATTAGGTTTATTTGAAGAAGCCTTAAAGGTAGGGGTGGGGCCAGTTCGGTTCTTCACATGAAATTTAGGAACCATTTGGAGAATCATTAATTTATATTGATTCGGTTCTAGTAATATTTTTGAAGAACCAATTGAAGAACCATTAATATCACATCGATTCGATTCTTGTGTGTATCGTTTAACCGTTAACAAATAAATACTACCTCTGTCCCACTAAGATTGGGATAAGAGAAAAGTGAATTTGGGTGGTTGATACTAAATTGATAAAGTATGAATAAAGTAAAAATGATTTAGAGTCACACAAACTTTACCAAATTTGTTATGAGAAATCTTAGTAGGATTTCACGAAAAGGTAAAATGGAACAATCTTAACAGAACGGATGGAGTATATAATTAACCATTATAGTTAATCATTATGAACATTCATTTGTTATATTGAATGAACACATCTATTGTGATTTAGTGACAATACACACATCGCTAGCACATGATTTGATAACTTAGATTTACCCTTTTAAATAAAATTTGAGGTTAAAAGATTCCATTATTCGGAATTCTTATAGAAGGTTTTTACAAAAAAGAAATTTATATATTATATATATTAAAGACTTTATTCTTATGAAAAAAATGTTTCACCTCACTTTAACTTTACTTTGTCACATATAAAAATAATACACATAAACATAAACATAAAAGTAAATTAAAATACAAATATATTGCATAACGGTTACTTAATAGTTTCACTAACATACTTACATTAGAAATCGGGAACCGAACAGTAAAACAGGATTAGAGACCGAACAATTAAGAAATTGTAACCCAATAAGAAGAACCGAACCGAACCACTTCATAACAATTCAGGTCGGATCGGTTCTCCCATTCTTGGGTCTAAAATCTCACCTTAGCCTACTTAAAATTCAAATGATCATCAAGAAAAGAGGTGAGATATAAAGTAGCTAAGACAAGCACGCCATGATGGCTAAAATTTCGATTTTATTGGTTAATAGAAAAAGTTCACATCAAACATTTTAGGGAAAAGGGTTAGATAGGTCCTCGAATTTACATAAAAAGGTCAAATAAGCCCTTATATAGGAGGCTCTGTCGGCCGTCGCCATTTAGGGTGATTTTCGGTGGAATTTTTTGATGAATTTTTTTGAGCATCTTATTAATTAAGTCTAGTTCACTCATACCAAATTTGAGCTAAAAATTCAATCGGTAATGCATTCAAATTAATTCTTGAAGATTACTGCGCAGTTATCTTCAAGAATTAATTTGAATGCCTTCCCGATTGAAGTTTTAGCTGAAATATGGTATGCGTCAACTAGACTTAATGAATAAGATGGTAAAAAAATTCATCAAAAAATTCTACCGAGAGCCATCGCAAATGGTGACGGCCGGACAGAGCCTCCTATATAAGGACTTATTTGACCTTTTTATGTAAGTTCAGCGACCTATTTGACTCTTTAATTTCCCCAACATTTTATGTAGAGTATTTTTACTTAGTTTTGGGGTCACTTCCATCAGCATTGCTGGTGGTTATAAGTTTTACTCATTGTTGAATAAAGCCGTTGCAAATTGCAATTAATACATTAATATATTGTTTTTTAAATTTTTACCATAACCCATATAAATAAATACAAATGAACTCAAATTAAGGACGTTTTCTTTTGGACGAAAATTTGCTTAAGTTTGGTTTGGTCTAATCTGAATTGGTCTGATAAACATCTGGTCTCTGTGTATTTTATAAATGTCCAAGTTTGATCTGGTCTGATCTGATATGGTCTTTTTAAATTTTGTTTACTCACATCTGAGACTGAAAACAATCCAAAAGAAAACATCCTCAAAAATATAACTCTCCAGGTCTAAAGATAATAACGTACCCCACTATGGAACGTATTTCAAATATATGACTTATTTAATTTTATTAAAAGTGTAAAACTTTCTCAATTAAGAAATTGGCAAGAAAACAACGGTGATCATGTTTGTGCAATGTGTGTATATATAAGTCGTATTTAAAGTCCTTTCTTGTTTTAGTTGGTTGTCCAAACTCCAAATTCCTAAATTGATTGGAAATCAGTCAACCAAAACAAAACTGCTTTATCTTATTATATGGTCCAAAAGACTGAAAGAGTAGTAAGACTTGCCTTTGGGGAATGAGTATATAGATTTCTAAAATAACAAATATAAATCTTTCCAAGATTTACAATTTCTTAGACTATATTCGATGTGTGATCTCAGCGAAGATATTATTTTCTAATATCACGAAAGTAGCCCGATGGAAATATGGAATGAATTAGTCTTGGCTTCCATCTTAAACTCACATTTCTTCGGGATATCTCTGCAAAATTATATGAATAAATGAAGTTGACAGCATCTAAAATAGTTTTGTGATGCAACACACTTAGATTGGAAAAATCCTTTTGTACACTACGTTTTCGGCCCGGCCCGGTACCCGGGTCCATGTCCAGTTCGGGACACCCAACTCGGTATTGTTTCAGGACGGGCTCCGGGTCTCAAAAACATGAACCAGCCGGGTCGGGCCCGGTTTGGTCCTTTTTTTTTGTTTTTCAAATTCTTTAAAAGGTAAATGGGTTGGGCTGAGTGTTTTAGAGGGGTTTGGGGTGTGGGGTGGGGGGTAGGGAGTAGGAAGTAATTAGACAATAAAAAAAAGGTAGCCGGCCCGAGGCCGGGGCCGGTTCCGGGCCTCAAGAATAAAAAAAACGATCAGGCCCGGCCCAAGTCCATGCCTACTCCGTTTATACACGCCATGTTTGCTTGTGTACAAAATTTATCTACAAAATGCAAGTTTTTTTGAGTATACAAAATTCCCTCCATGGTCCGTACACGAGGCACAACTCTCTTAGGTTTAAGTAGTGAACTCTAGCTTAGTATAAAGGGAACGAATAGCTCGACTGCTCGACATATGTTTAAATTGAAAAGTTATAACCACACATCAGTTTTGTAATCATGGATTTGTGTTCTTTCACTTATACTTCAGATTACTCCAAGAAAATGAGTTGTCTATTTAGAGGGCTTGGAGCTTTTTTCAGTTCATTTAGCAATTTCGTTCATAAAATAAGAGGATGAAACCACACAAATGAGTTGCACACTTACACAGTTACACCCACAGTTCAACAAGTATCTGAATTACAAAATTTAGCTTATTAGCTAAATGTTCTATACAAATAGGCCGACATGGCGACATGATCTTTCAATATTGATACGAAAATGATAACTACTATACAATAGTACCACGACAGTCACGTGAGTTGTTTTGACAGCCGAATATTAAAACGAAAAAAAATCACAAATCAGAATTAAAGCAAACCCAGTGGGAGGTAGCAGATAGTTTCTAAAAGAGATATAACCAGCAAATTAATCAGTGAGTTAAACTAACCGTTCCAACCCGACTTGAGCTGGCCTCGCCAAATGAAACAGAAGCTAGAGACTTTGAGGCCCATGCCCTGGCATTCATAGCTCTTTCCTGCAAATTGCTTCGCTTGCAAGGCTCCTTCAATGAATTGAATACTTGGAATCCCCGATGCAGGTACAGCAGAGGATGCTCCCACAAGGAGCTTATCCTCATGTTGTACCGTGTATAAGCGAAACGAGCAAACCTACGGATATATGGAAATATGGCACACACCAATCTTAGAAGAACAAATATAGTTGCCAACATCAAGTACGTGTTCTGCCGAAGTAAATTCTGTGGAGAACTTGCCCATGAGAATGGACAACTTTCTGGTTCACTTCCACTTTTATGCCCATCCTGGTGTGTGGAACATCCAACCTTGTCTAGGGACATGACATCATCAATTTCTGTCTTAACACCTGTCCAGGAAACACAATAATAAGAATAAATAAATATATAATAAAGCAAAAGGCAAAGGGGATGAGACATACACCATTCTGTTAGGTGAAATTTTGCCAGATATAGATTGTAGGAAAAGGTACTAAAAGTGATATTGAATTATTGATGCACTTTGGTACATCAACTCTGAAGTGAAGTATGTGTACAATAAAGTACATTTTATTGTTTGATGATGGCACTATTTAAAATTCCAATCAAAACTATATGTTTTGGTAACATGAATCTCAGAAGCAACATGTGTAATTAGTTGTGTTACTGAGTTGATGAGGTCAGCACAAGTCAAATGTAATTCTGATTTGTTTCAATGACTTGGCTAACTGCATCTTTTGTTAATTGTTGAATATTGAATGTGTCGGACTAATCGGGACCCAAGTTTGATAACAGTGAACCTGTGAAGTACGGAGTAATTCATTAAACACACCTTGTTAATAAAACACATGTGAAATTCAAACTGTTACTTAAGATGCTTTTTGCCTGAATATCAAGTAGTACCACCGACCGAGACATTATAAAATTATAAATTTATAATATACTTAAGGTACTGATTTGCTTCGTTCAAAAGTTGGTGTACAAAAATGCAACAATACTACTACCTAGTACCTGTGGTACCATTTATAATATTGCCCCAATCCAAAATAACTTTTTCTCTTGAAGAAAACAATATGTGGTTCACAATATTTCTCTCTACCAGATAAACCTCACTCATAGAATTTCCTCTATCTTAAATTCCTTGCACGGTCAAAGACTCAAAGTGAGCATTACAATTGGGACAGTTTAACTTTGAGAACACATATAAAGGCAGTTTAACAGAAAATAATACAACGTAACATTTATTAGTAATATGCACAAGCTGCAAAAGCATCTTACCAGTTACATCATCATAGAAAGTACTTAAAGAATCAAGGGTCCTCGGTCCATGATATTGAACACGCATCGTAGAATTCAGAATTAATAGCGTAGGAAGCCCATGAACTCCATACCTTGAGAGAGTACTGAAAATTCCACTGTATGTTAGATTCTTTCTACCTAACAAGATGTGATACATATTAACTCTGAAACAGTTACAAGTTCTCTGACCTTGGCTTAATAGCTGATTCTTCAAATGCGTAGTGGGGAATTGAAGGGAACAGAGAAGACAGAACAGAAAAGATCGGTCTAAATGCTTCAGAAAACGGACACCATGATGCATAGAAGAGGAAAACAGCATAGTTATGTGATCTGTGTTGAATCATATGCAATGATCTCTGCAATATCATCTCATTTCCCTTCACAACAAGAATGTGAAATTCGGTTAGGATGTCCACAAAAAGGAAATTACAACTGAAATTCCAATTCGTCTTTCGAATACACAATACTTTCCTGTTTAAAGGAAATTACAATTGAAATTAAAAAAAAAATAAGACTTATCAAATGCAAAGAGATTCCCAAGTAATTTTACTTGCAAATAAACAATAAAATTACATAGATCGAATTACTTAACATGTGGAATGCAGCATTCTCTTTCCTGGTCTTAAACCATACTGAACTTGCAACAATCCCACATCAACATTTGGCATGATATAAAACTATAAAAGTAAAACAAACTTACCTTCTCTGTCATTTTATGTTTTAATTTCCACACTAACTATAGGCACTATTCCCTATTTTCTGTCTTTTAAGTTTGAAGAATGAACAATATTCCCCACCTCATATATGCATAACTCCTCACAATTTTGAGCTAATAAGGTAAGAGTGAGAAGTATTTAGCTATGTAATTTGTAGCATGTTTTGTTTGACATATCTCGACTTCAGCTGAAAACTGAAATTCACAATTTCCAGAGCTCACAATGGCAAATTGCACAAGTACCCTAACTTATCAAATGTAAAAAACTCCCTATTCCCGGTTCCAAAATACATGTATACAGGCTCTTCACTATGTGTTTATTAGACAAATGGAAATGGTGCCAAAAGTTAAAATCTCAAATGCACATAGATAGGGCTTCAAGTCTTCAACAGAAGTAGTAAAGACAATTTGATTATGAGGTTCACATATTTGAAATCTTAATTTAGCATGACTCAAAAACGTTTATAATAAACTCATCCATTGTTACATAAATCACTCAAGGGCCCACGATCTGCGTTCCAAACGTTCCGTACCCAATCGCGGAACGAAAGCGTTCCAAATGATTCCAGGATCGCCGGCGGATAAACTTCCAAGATTGTTCCCAGACGCTATTGAATTCATTCGCAAACACTCTCCAGTTCATTCACACTCCCTATCCAGTTCGTTCGCAATCGGTTTTGATGTCAATCGCAGACGCATCAAACGCTATCAAGCCTCATCATTTCCTTTCCGCGTGCAAATGCGATGACCCGCAACGTTTGATTTCAAATATTCCAACAGGCTCGAACCAAGCTCTTAGTTTTCTGATCCAGGACTCTTCGTTTTCCGACCACAGGGTCGCATATTTAGTGGAGTGAAAATTGTTCCGTTTCAGACACCTTCTATAATGTTTCTGTGTTTTCAGTTTTGAGTCAAAAGTTTCTATAATATTAATGTTTTTTATTTTGTTTAATGCTATGAAATATGTTTTTGTTTAATGTTATGAAATCTGTAATTCTGGTTTATTATAGTACTAAAAACATAAGGTACGAAGTACCAAACATAAGGTACAACATACCGAACGCGTACCGAAATGAACCTACCCCCTCCGAACCGGATTCGCTAGACCTAGCGAACCGCATTCCTGATCCTCGTTCCTGTACCGAAGCGTTCCGCGAATTATGTGACTATGAACACATCTTAAAAAATAAAACAAATTCTGGCACTTAAAAAGGAATCTGAATTCTGAACACAGAATGTAGTGACAATTTGATACGTCCATTAAGATCATTGGAGAAGCTAGAATAAACTTCATATTCAAACTTCAGTCAGAACTTGTCGGGTTTCATACATTTACATCGAAAACTTTGAACAAATGTCTAAAGTGACGATTGTTACATTAGGGCTCGCTCAGTAATGCTATCATTTTTTGTTTTATGAGATTAAAATTATATGATATATGTTTTATAATGAACTGAAAATAATCATTCTTAGAGTAATCATGTTAGTTTTGAAAACTGCAAACATCTTTTTCTGATTTTCAGGAATTTATTTTAAGTTTAAAAAAACAAGAAAACAATATCAAATGAGGCCTTTGCTACCAGATTTAGGAGAAACCCCTAATAGACACCAAATGGGAGAAAGTAATTTAGAGGGTAACAGATCTTTTGCGAAGTGGAAGTCCAAAGTCCTGGGGAAAAAGTGACTAGATCTGTTCACTATATGTTAATTTTTCTGTTGTTTTACTTTTTAGTCAAGTCGCATGTTTTTGCAACTTGCGAGTCATTAATGTAGAAGGGGAGCCTTGTTGCACCGTTAAGGTGTTGGTCACAAGGTCACGAGTTCAAACCTTGGGAGCAGCCTCTTGTAAAAAAATTGACAAGGAAAGGTTTTCTCCTTGCCCCTTATACACCCTTGTGGTGGGACCCTTTCCCTGACCCTCACCTTGCGGGCTGCTTCGTGCACCAGACTGTCTTTTTTTTAATCAATAATGTAATCAAAACCATAGGTATGGTTAATTGCGAGCTTTGAACAAAAATGGCAATAAAAGTGATTGGGATGCAAATAAAATCTTTTTGGCCTACACGAATGGAAATCGAACAAAAGAAATAATAGGTTTTCAGTTTTCTTCCAATTTGTTGCCCTCTGCAGATGTCTTCCCCTTCCAATATTTCTTCCCCCTCTGAGTCAGCATTGATCCTAATTCCTAACAATACTAAAATTATACAACATGTAAGACAAATATTAAGAGCTCGTTTGGTAAAACTGAAATCGGTTGAATTGGCTGAATCTGTTGAAATTGGTGAAATTTTGGCAGAAGCGGCTAAATTGACTGAATCTGCTTAATTATAGAAAAGTAACTTCAACCCTATCTTATTTTGATTATCACACAATTCAACACGCAAAATCAAAAGTTACATGTTTAGTAAAAAAGTTTGCCGATGAGGCTCACACGATGAAAACAAGAGTCACCAAATGGACTCCAAAAGTTAATTGTTAGCTACTTTAACCAAAGCACTACATTGCCCCTTTCCTTGTAAAGTTGGTGACTGCTATCAAATAGATCTAACTAATGAACAAACTAAGTGATTTAATATCATATTTTAAAAAAGGGTCATCTAAGCCTAAAACAATTAATTGTAAAAAGGAGCAACTTTTCAAACAAAAGTTTGATGACCCTTCCATTGAATTTTGGGAAGTTGGTGACTAGCTAGTATATACTAGTTAATTTTACTGTGTTGTTCATGGGTCAAATTATCGAGAGCGATAGAAAACAATGAATGACTATTGACTAGAGCTGTTACCAAAGTAGATAGCTGTAAAATATATATTAAGCTGATACTTACTTCTATATTATGTTGTGATGATACCAAGTATATTTAATTACGAAGAGTCATTAACAAAGTAAAGATGTTGAGCAGTGCACAAGCAAATTTAAGTACAGAAGATATACAAACATTAAGTCATTAACCGCAACCAAGGTGTTGTATTTAACTACTACACGTTAATAAGATGGGAATGGAAGATGTTAAAACATATGTGATCTTTGGTTGATGAAAAGCATGTAAATAGTCAGAATAGGTGTGGGATAAAATGAAATGGATTTTATGATCAAAGCAGCATATCCCCTCTAAATTTCGTGCACCCAACCAGCAAGGATATATAGGTAGATTAAAACTTTCAAAGAGAAAACCCTAATGAAAATTGAATTCTTATTTCAATTTTTAAACATCACTATCACCTTGCTTTTAAATGTCTGGAATTATGTCTAGACCTTTCAATAAATCATCATGAAGGGAATAAATATAATACTATTAATAGTAAGGTACACAAACTTAAACATCCAAATAAAAATAGAAGTGAATCCAGGAATATAGCCTATATACTTAATTCCTTTCACACGCATAGTCAAATAACCAACAAACTCCTCAAAAAACAATGAAGAAAGTCATAGAAAAATTAATAGAACGATAAAAACAAAGGATACAGTTGGAATTGTTTACCTCAACAATAGCGGCCGCATATGAAAAATTGATCTCATCAACTGGGCATGTGAAATCTCGGAGCCCCAAGATCGAGTCTTTAACCGAATTCCGCAAGGGGCACATTGGGGGAGACGGCGTTGCGAGGCTTTCAACGCAAATCAAGATCCCAATTATCTCCATCAGAGCCAATCCAGCTCCCGGATTCCTCAAACTCGCCATTCCAGGAACAAAGCGAAATTAATTGATTAGTAACGCCCGCGGACACGAAATGAACGAACAAATCGGAAGCTAAACCAAAGCAGAACGGAGGAAGGGGGTCGCCGTGGCTGCAACGGGGGTTTCTGTGTGAAGGGAGGTGACAGCGAGAGCCCAGCGCATACAAGCGTTGAGGCTCAGATTTTGCTGGGATAGATGATGAGTTTCTCTATATCCGTATGACGCTTGAAAGGAGAAAGTTGAAGGTGCGACTGTGGGTGAGTGGAGGGATAATGAATTACCATATATATTTTGAGGCGTGAATAATAGAGAAGGAAACGCTGCTCACATGTATGAGTGTATGACAGAAAAAAATAAAATTAAAACGATTTAAATAGCTTAACATTCAAGAGAGGTTAGTACTCTAAGAAAAAATGATACATGCCGAGTATAATACATGTATGTATGACGACTAAATTATTGTGTAAATTCTCAAATAGGAGTAGATATACTTTTATTCCTAAATAGGACTACTGTTTCAAATTTACCCCTTCTACTTATGTTAGCTTCCGCACATGATCGAGCGTCATTCCCCCAGGCATCACTTTTGCGCATCTTCTCCGGTCAACTGCGCATCTTCTGCAAGCAACTGCGGCGACCATCGGCTAGCAACGAAACCAGAGGCGAGCAGGGGCGAGCAGAGAGGGACAAATCTGATCCAGATCTGTTGCTGCAGAATGTAGCTCGTTGTACTCCTCCTCCTTCCTTCTCCTCCACGTCTACTGTTTTTTCTCTACCCCTCTTATGTTTTTGTCGCAGCCGCAGGTCCGATGCTTCCAATTTCTTCTTTACTTGTTAAAATTGCCAAATTTACTCTGAAAATGCCATCAAAATGGCATTCTTACTCTTCAAAAAATCTGTGTTTCCTTTCGAAAATGCCATTCAAATGGCAATTTCGAATTTTCGATTTCATGTTGGCATTCCGATAAAAATGTTGGCAATAGCGGCAGTGGCGACCGGAGATGAAGCGGCGGAGGCCGGATTTGCAGGGGTCGTAGTCGGTGGATGGAGGCAGCCAGATCTATGGCTCCGGTGACTAGATCTGCAGCTGCGGAGGCCATATCTGCAGCTGCGGAGGCCAGATCTGTAATAGTGGCCAATTTTGAGGCCACGGCAGCGGCCGACGAACGGTGTCGGCCGACGAGTGGAAGCGATCTGACACTATGTATGCGGTAGCATGTTACCAAACTTCAAGGGCATCTTTGTCCAACTACAAATAATAAATCCTATTTAGGTAATTTTCAAATTTTAGTCTTATTTTGGCAATTACGGGTTTATTTACTCCCATTTAGAGAATTCCCTCTTTATATAATACATACGAAGTTTTTTTACACCATGATCATTTGTTTTTCATAAATGCATGTAATGCTATTTAGTACATTCTCTGTTCCGTTAGAAGGTTTCCGTGGAGAAATGGCACAATTTTTAGACAAATATTTGAATACTATAATTTGGGTAAAAATAGTGGAAAGAAAAAATTTAGAAAAAATAAAACATATAAAGTGAAAGAGATTAAAGCGGGATAAATTGCAAAGGGGAGAAATTGTGCATTGCAAAAAGGTTGAAAAAAGTGGGAATTTTGAAAGAAATTGGAAGGGAAAAATCCTAATTTGACTTGTCAAATTGAAGCTGGAATAGATAGTTGTTTGGTTGAAATACAAATGCATTTAACATATTTAATTATGCAGATTATGAATATTCACTTCAAACAAATGTAGTCTTATTTGCAACATATTGATGCAATATTAGAAACTTAATGGATATATTAACTTGGTATAATGCATCTTAAAATATTTTCCTATGTTTTACATCTGACACTTCAAACTCATTATAATACATCTTAAAATATTGGTATATTGATATATTGAGTTTTTTGAAGAGTAAATTGCCTAAATAAGAGTAAAACCTAGGTTAAATTCAAAAATAGGACTACATTGTTTTAAATTCACTAAATATGATTAATTTTGTGTGTTTAGACAAATATTGTAATACTTAAGAATTTGAGTACTTAGATTAAGTTAATGTTTCGGGACGAAACATCTTTTAAGGAGGGTAGAATGTGACACTTCAAAAAAAAAAAAAAAAAAAAATTAAATAAAAATAAAAATAATTTTTTTTAATCAGATAAAAATATTACGAAAATAAATTTTTTATTATTAATTGAGTCAGACAAAAATTCAACAGTCGTAACATTCTAATCAGATAAAATTTCCAAGTTCACGATTTTTTTAATCAGATAAAAATGGCCCGATAATAGAAGTTACGTTTTCGTATAAAATTAATTTTTATAACTATTTTAGGTTGTATAATATACAAAGTATAAACTAAATAATTAAAATACTCATAATACATATATATATATACGTACATAATAATAATAGTATAACCTACGTATACATATAACCTACGTTATACGTAGTATATAAACTAAACTAAACTACCTAATTATACTACGTAACTACATAGAATTATACTCATACGTATAACTTAGTATATAAGTATAATTATAATACTCCTAAATAACTACTATTACATAGTCATAATACTCCTACTCCTACTATAATACGTATACTCCCGGTATACTTTTCTTGGCCGGCAAAACAACACAACCAAAAATCGGGAGGAGCTGTTTTAATCCAACTCTAAATCTAACATCTCAGTCTAAAACCCTCGACCTACACCTATAAATAATAGGCCAGAACCTGCGTTTTCTTCATCCCAAAATCTGAGAAAAATACATATATACGTATATATATATTTTTTTTTCGACCCAACGTTTTAGCCAGAAACAAGCCCTGAAAATACTTCTCAAACCTTCCCCTTCGTGATACGAATCCAACGGAAAAAGAATCGTCGAAAACGGTCGTGAAACGAGGGAGAAAAGCCTCGCCGGAGTTTCGCCGGAGAAAAGCTTTTCGACGGAAAACGGAGAAGAGGGAGGGGCTGCCACTTCCGCCAATCCACCACCGTCATTCGCCGTCCCGAGAGGAGTGCACCGCTACCCCGTTGGCCGTTTCCGACGAGGTAAAACCTCTTTCCCCGTTTTTTTTCTCTCTCCCCGTTTTTCCGGCGACCTGGGGAAGAAGACAACCCAGCAATTGCTGGGTCTGTCTTTTGGGCCTTTTCAGGTTGGGCCAGAAAAAATTATAAATGGGCCAGTTCGGCCCAGTTGCAATAAAAATTAAAAATAAAATAGTAAATGAAATAAATAAAATCTGGAAAAATATAAATTAAATACCTAGTATAAATATACATACTCGGACCAACCAGAATTGGAAAATAATATTTTTAGCTATTTTTAATTGATTTAATGGTAATTGGGCCAATTTATACACATTTAGTAAATAATTAACTAAATAACGAAAATAATTATGAAATAAATATTGGAGTAAACTAGGGTAAATATATGACTAACTAGGACCTTATGGACCATTTATAATTAATAAAAATAAGGTTTAGTATATTTAATTGTAATTAAACCGGTTAATAGATATATGACATTAAAGGAATAATTAGGGAAAATAATTATAAAATAAATATCTGGACAACCTAGGTCGAATATAGACCCAAAATATATTTATGGACGGTTACTAATTTATAAAGTCGATTCTTAGTCTATTTATTTAAATTAGGCCATATAAGACTAGTTAAGTAATTAAATAGGTGAATATTAATATTAATGATGAAATAAATAAATCAGTGAGGTTGAAAATTAATATTCTGGACTAAAAATAATGTTTGAATAAAATAAGGAAAATAAATATATTCGGTTATGTAAATAAAGTAATTAGATAATAATTTATGAGTAGAGTAAATTAATAGTGATTATTGAATAAAAATTTAGATGTTGTAGTTAATGATATTCGAATATTTTATTTAATATTAGAATTCAAATATTGTAATTAATGGCTAAATTAATAAGGTAATTTGATTAATAAAAAGTGATTAACCAAAGTTAATGCGAATAATAAAATAAAAGGGGAAAATCGGGTAAAGTAATTACAAATAGAATAAGTGACTAATTTATCATATTTAATTAAAAAGGTGATTATCTAGAGACCGGATTAGAGGAGGATAACTAGGAGCAACAGGACTTAAGGTAAGTTTCTCTGCCAATCCAAAATTGTTTCCTCGTATTATATGCTTATTATGCATTATGTGATTAAGTGTGATTTGTGAATTTTGTGCATGTGATTTTGAGAAGATATTATATATATGGTAGTTAAGAAGTATAAATCAAGTACTTTTGGGGTATTAAATATTTTTAAATACCTTCAAGACTTTTTAGAGAAATTAAGAAATATTTTTGAAGTATTATTAAGCGAAGATAAAATTTACATTTTTATAAGAAGATAGCATCTCGGGAGTAATCCGAGGTGTCGGTTTTTCCACATCCGGATAAATGTGGAGGGTGATTAGAGCTACTACTACTAAGAAGTACAGTTTGGATCTATGATCCCTTTTAAGCAAGATTTGGATCTATGATCCCTTTTAAGTAAGATTTGGATCTATGATCCCTTTTAAGTGAGATTTGGATCTATGATCCCTTTTAAGAAGAAGTTATAGTAGTAGTCCCTAATCATTCAAGAATTTTAGAATTGGGGTGGTTGGGTTCCAACCACTCGGGATGACTTACTACTCGGAGGGCTTGGAATCCCTTTTAGGGGGTGTGCACACTTAAGGTAGTCGTTTCGTTTCCAACAGAGCAGTTGTGGTACCGGCACTTGTTCGGGGTGGCCGTCCGTAACCACGGTTCACCGGGCTCTATCGAAAGGTTGAGCACCGCCCTTCTAAATTACTAGGAAGTTAGAGAAGAAGTGATTTTCTTAAGAAGTTTAAAAAGAAGAGTTACTAAGAGATTTTTCAAGAGAAGTTTAAGATTTTAGCAAAGAAGTAGTTTGAGAAAAACCAAAGTGAAAAGAATTTTGATGGTGTGAGTATTTTTATATATTATTATATAAAAATCTATTTTTAGCCAAACCTGATTATTTTACGGGGTTGGGTAGTACTTACTTAGCTCTAAAGCTAATTTTTGTTATTTTCTTGTCTCTCTTTTCTCCCTTAAATCAGGTGATGAGTTGGATACCTATGTGGATTGACGGATTGCTCGAGCTTGAGTGCGAATTAGAAGATGCCTTAGTTAAATCTAGTCATAAATCAAACATTTACTTATTATTACATTAGTTTTTATTGTTTTACTTTGAGTTGCCTGTGCATTCGGTTAAGAGATGACCGAATGTGGCGGTAACACTCATTTCCCTTTTAGACTTCCGCTGTATTTCTTCAACTCTTTGATGAATGAATAAGGTATTT